GAACGGAAACTTCTTGTCTGCGGTAACACCCCAAATCCTCATCAGTGCATCCATCGCAGCCATATCGGCAGCTATTCGTTTTGTTTCTCCAGGCCCTTAAAGTTACTTTCTGATACAATTCTAGCTCTAAACATTAGTCAATCGATATACACAAATTAAAAAAAGAGGCATAAATAATGTATTCGTTCTCCAAAAAAACCCTGAAATGCAACAATAATGCTTTTCTCCAACTAATTTTAATCAGCACCTGGTTGTTCCAGCTGATTCTTTTGCAGGAAATACTTTGGATCGGATGCAGTTGCTCTAATACTTTACCAAAGACTTACAATTCAAAAATTCTGCTACCGAAGACATGAAAAACTCAATTTTGTTGCGAAAAAAAAACATAATTTCGAATAATCCCCGATTCTTTGACATGAGCTATATGTGATACTCACAAAAACAATTAGCCAAATTCACGAAAATCAGTACAGAAGGTAATCCAAAACGACAAACTATACTGTCCGTAAAAATAAATAATTTTTATTCAATTTTGCTTTAACTCAGGTGGATGAGGCCCTACAACACATACCTTTGCCAATCAATTTCTTATTTGCATAGATTCCAGCAATAAATATCGGCTCGGCACTGATTTCACCAGCTGAATGCAACAGACGTGGTTCCACTTCATCACCACCGTTGGCCGACATGAAACACTGAAGCACCCGTAGTGGTTCTGCAAGTGGGAATACTTCTTCCATATCCAAATCGGCCAATTGTACAACGACAACATTCCGGATCAATGCAGCAGCTCTAGAACAGCGATAAAACAAACTATGGATGAAAAAGCAACTGTAAATGAAGAAGAGTTCGGTGTTCATATGAGTTTTAAAATAAACGCACATTTTAGAAAAAGCAAAATTCACCCTACTGACGCTAAAGGACCGTAGAAACCGACGTGATTAAAGATCTAAAATAAAGAAGGTTCTCACCCATTATGGCCGTTCCATATTTTCCACCGTTTGGACTGGCCGTTTATTTCGGAAATTACGGCTCGGCCTGCCAAAGGCCGCAAATTATTTATCAATTTAACCCACTTCGGCCACTCCACTTGGACCGTCTACTTATGATTCGGCCTTCTAATGGCTGCTACTTATCATTTCAGTCAGACTTATTTCACTACTACTACTACTACTACTACTACTACTACTACTACTACTACTACTACTACTACTACTAC